TTATGCCTTTTAGCTCTAGCTTTGTTACTTGCTTGACCCATTCTTACAAATATATCTGAAAAACAGTAAACAATAAATTAAGCAATAATCAAAATTACTAAATCAACAACAGTGTAATTTTTAACTTAATACACCTTTATTCTACTAAAAAACCTTCCTCACTCTATCCTAAATATCATGTCTTAAAAAGCGGAATAACCATAAAAAACTTTATTAATATAATATCTTAGAGACATCCAAGTATGTAAAGCATAACTTTAGCTAAAACATCCACTATAACGTTGCATGAACTAACGGAAGCTGAATTTTTGTTTCCCATGGCACATCCTGATTCGTTCTTTCATTGCCGGCTCTTTCACATGATGAACTTGATTACTATGACCTTGCTCTCCACATTCACTGCATTTCATAAGTTTTCAAGTGCATTCATCAGCTGAGTGGAACTCAGTAGCACAGAAGATGCACAATTCCTTGAGCTTACAATCCTGAAAGTTATGGGAAGAAATCTTGCAGAAATGACACCAAATCGTCGGTTCAATTTGAAGCTTGGCCTGAATCCCTTGCAATGTAATTTCTTGTTTCTCTTGCACATCCCTTATCTCTCTAATTTCTTGTTTCAAATCCTTAACCTCACACATTACATCCTTCATTAAACTGTTCTGAGATTCTAGGTTAGCATTCACTTTATTTATAGCGTCTAGAATGGGCAAATTCATAATAGTTTGATCGAGCGCGTTTTTGCGAGTTTTCCAGGCGTGCAATTTCGTTAACCACATCGTCATCAAACGAACTGTCGAAAGCCGGGGAAGGAGGATCTACAATAGTAGTAGTGTCCGCCTGGCTGTTAACTGTACTTTTCTCTTTAATCTTTCTACGGATCTCCGGAGTGACACAGACTGTTGAGATAAAATCCCTAGCCATTAACTGCTCGAGGAACTCAATCAAGGTTAGTGGTCCTACCGGTCTGAATAAGGAAGGAACCTTCATCTTCAAATTTTTGAACACCTTATTTAAAATATGCTTTGCCTTTTCCATGCTATTAGAAACCGGTAGGTAGTCCGCCCTACAACCATTACTGGCAAAATAAGAGTTTATAGTTTCTTGATATTTTGGCTCGGCTATAACGTAAAAAAGATCAACTGGTCTTCCGGCAGAAAAAATTGTTGTAAGCGCAGCCATCCTACTACCGTACCAAATGTCAATTCTAAACTAACCCTACTTAATCTTATTATAAATGAAAAAACCTTTAAAAAATAAATTTCTTCTCACCCCACTGGACAAAGACTCGAAATAGGTGCGCGGCAAGGGCGCTGGAGTACAGTTCTGTTACCATTCTAGTTTATAGATTTTAGCTTCCCCGACTGTACGGTTTTTCCCGTATTATAATAATTAAACCCATTAACATTGCTACTGTAAAGTTTTATTTTCAATGTTGTTTCTTTAACTTATTAATTGCAGTAAATACAAACCTATAATGTCGTAATTTGATGTTCTGATCGCGTAATAGCTTATTATTTAATTGCAGTAAATACAAATCTATAATGTCGCATTTCAACGTTCTGACAGCGTAATAGCTTATTATATAATAGGGTGTACAACAAAAGTATTTTGTCAATCTAACAACATATGAATCTTATTATAGAAGGGTTTCCTAATCTAAACTCTTTTTTTATTTCAAATTGCCAAACATTTGTAATTATTACTAATGGTAATCTTGACGTACTAGAAATTTAAAACATAGGTAACGTCTTATGGACGCTTAGCTGTAATTTCTCTCTCAATAAAAAAGTCGCTTAGAAATAATTAATTTACTCCATTCTATCTTCTGGACCTTGTATCCCGTTCAAACTCTAACACAACCATTTAATCCTACCAGATTGGAATTTTTCCAATAATAAGAGCAACTATGAAATAAAAACTTTACAAAATTTTCCATAATATAAACATATGTTTGTGAGCAAAGTCGTCCTTAAATCTGAATCTTTAACGTCGTATGAAGGGCCTAGCTGTAGTTTCTTCTCAGTAAATTTCCTCACAAGGGTGAAAGTAAGGTCGTCTTTAAAATAACCATCCTAATTAATTAACTTTATCCCAGGGGAATAAATTGTCTATAATTCAACTTTTGACCAGACCTTGCGAGAAAAAATAGATGACCCTATATCCCGCTCAAATTCTATCAAAAGGATTAAATCTACCAGATGGACTCCCTCCAATAATTAGATCAACTATGAAAAATCTTTCAAAGTTTTCCATAAAATAAATATAAGGTTGTGATTAAAGTCGTCTTTAAATTATTTTAACGTTTTATGAATTGCCTAGCTGTAATTTTCCTCTCATCAAATTTTCCCGCTTTGAGAAAAAATAAATAACACTTTTCAAAATTAGTCAAATAACGACGTGTTGTATAAATAAATAATCTCAACCAAAGACCCTTAATATTCATAAGCTTAGCTAAATTCTTGGTTTGGATTTATTAAGTCTGTTTATCATAAAAACCAAATCATATTCTCGAAAGGAACCAAATATCCCAATCATATATTCATCAGTCTAAAGCTCCCAGCTCCAAAAAAAACTTTGTCATCATGTCTTTAACAAGTACAATATTATTATGAAAACCATAAGAGCCAGAAAAAACAGTAGTTTTCTTAAACTTAAATCAGGTATACAACCATTAAAAACACCTTTAATAAATAAACAGTCATACATAACATAGAAAAAAACTTTATTATTACACAAAATCAAATAACAGGAGAAAATTATCTCTTTAAATTACTTGCACCCTTGAATGATTTCTGATGTCCAGCCCATGGGTCCACGTTAGATCTTTGATAGGCTTAGCTTTATAACGTTTAGCATTCCGTCCATACCCGTTATCTGTACTAATAATTGATCGATTGCCAGGAAGGGCGTCTTTATATCTGTTACCAAATTATCTTAGCTATGAACAGCGACGAAAAATATTAGCACCAAAACAAATTTTTTAAAAAAAACATCTAACATTTTTTACTTTTCTAGTGAGCTTATTAAAGTTCCAATTCGAAATCATTTTCGAATTTTGTCTAAAATTTTAAAAAAAACATTTAATACTTAATAATGTATCATTAAAATCCACGCACAATAATGGTTAATTCCATGATTATTCTTATTCATAACTGACACCCACACATCCAATTATTGATTAAATACATTTCAAGATTTTTATAAATACTTTCATCCACCTTTTGATTTATTTATAAGACAAACAAAATCAATGTATAATTATGTAATATAAAGCATGAACTGTTTCCGCTAATCCAGTTGTTTTAAAATTTAATCCAACTAAATATAAACAGTAATGATACGGCAAAAAATAAATTAAAAACCGGACCATTAAATTCAATGCATACAAAGTATGAATTGTTCCCACCAATAAAGTAGGAACTGTTCACGTTAGTCTAGTTGAACTAAACTCAAACTTAAAACCATTAACGATACAGCAAAATAAATTAAAAAACAGCACATATGACAGACAATTAAATGTTTAGTTATGCCAGATAAAGTATAATTACAGAAGCTTCAATATTTACTTATGCCAGATAAAGTATGAACTGTTTAAGCTAATAAAGGACGAACCGTTTCCGCTAATCAAGTTTAAATCCAAACCGTGATGATTGTTGATACGTCAAAAAACCAAAAACAGCACATAAGACAAACAAATTAAATGATTAGTTAAGCCAGATAAAGTATATTAACCGAACTTCTACATATAAAACAAAATTGTAAACGACAATACGTCACGGCATACATCGTTTGCTGGTCAGTAAATTAACACATAGCTGCCATCTTTTTAGCATTAGAAGTTCTTCTCTGTTAAGTTATGTTGAAACATCCGTCATGTACTAAATGTAGCTTCATGGCCGTAAATGCAAAATAAAATTTTGCTTAGCATCATAGCCGTAAACGTAGAATCTGAAATACAACCAAATTAAAACAATTAAATAATCAATAAAGGAAAAAAAACTTATATGTATTAAAATATATTGAATTTAAAATTATTTTAAACCATGTTAATATAACGTCCAAAGAAAGATAAGATAATTCAAATCCATTTTCCAGATATGCGAAACAGTTTATTTAAAAAACAAGATATCAAAAAACCAGAGGTTGAATAAAACATTAATTTTAAGTTATGAATTTTTTCCAAGCATTAAAACAGAGTTATAAAATAAAACTCCACAATTTTTTAGCGTTATTTAAGGACAGCATGTAACTAGTGGCAAATTGTAAACCCGCATTAACTTAATCCTTCACCTAATTTAATCAACCTATAATTTACATTCATAAGTAGGGTAACTTACCACGCGCCCTACCCTAAATTTGTCCACAGTCCCCAGAGTCCCTCCACAACCCCCAGGTGTTCATGCAGCTCGTTTCTTCTGACTCTTGAGATCTTAGTCTTCCCAAGACCCATATCATCAGCAAGGATTGCTCCTCCATCAGCATTCATCCCTTGTGGTACCGGAGCAGGGTTCAGCTCCTGGCAACCTTCTTGCCGACCGCGCCGGGTCCTTCTTTAGTCAGAACATGTCCTTCGTCATCTTCTACTTCATCGTTCGCTTGGTCACCATCATGTAAACTGTCAGCAAAAGAGCTAGAACTAGA